ACCATTGGCTTGTATATTTAAAAATATGGTAAATATATATTTATTTGTATTTTTTCATTAAACTTAAACTAAATTGTTTAAGTTTATACGTTTGGTAAGGAATAATATTTCTCTGATGGTATATTCGTCAGGGCCAATGGATTCTTTATGGTTTTTGCAGGTAGGTATAGTCATAAATCATAATCTGTTCGCACGGTTTCTTATGTGAGTCTGCATTCCGACATGTACCCATAGACCTTATACTAATAGACGGAGCATGGGCTCAGTTCTATAGGGCCCAGGTTAGTGCACTGTTCGAATATTACTCAATTACTACGCTCCCTGAAATTTCAGGTGATTATAACAATTATTGAATGAAAATGGATTGATGAATATAACACAAAAATTATATAGTCCATCCCAAAAATCCCGTATCACCCTTAGTATCTCAAATCAATACATTTAAATTCAGTGTTTTTGTAGTAAAAAGTATGGAAGTTCTGTTTGAATGACATAATACTTTGATTTTTTTTTTCAAAAGTTAACAAAAATGTTTTTCAGGCAAATAAGTTTTTAAATTTCCAAGATAGACGTTTTGTTGATTGTATTTTTTAAAACAGTTAAAAAAAAAAAATTAGTTAGAGCAATTTAGAAAATGATTAGTAGTCAGAGAATTAGTCCAAGTTAGAGCCTACATCTCTAAGAATAATAGCTGTGTTACCTATGCATACGGCATTAGTACAATTTGACATACCTATGCTATCCGTATGCATAGTCAGTTTATGTGTCACCTAAGATATACCTTAACACAATTCCGGATTGCAATCCAGACCATGGTTAGTCGAGATACCGAGAAAATCAGGGTGGACCGCATAAACTTTGGGCTGGTCATGTGAGTATGGGGGAAAATAAATACACGTTTAAAATACGATTAGTCACTATAAACGCGGAATAATTTTAGACGTAATTTTGGGCCAGTGAACATTTCAATGACCTCTAGAAGTGCAAATATCGATGGACCTATGCATAGTACATACGAATCCAGTAATGGCTTAACATAACATTGTCTTATGTGGCACATAATTAATTGACTAAGCATGCATACGGCATTAGAAAAATACGATTCGCATGCTTTAATTAGAAATTGGGACGCTGATTTTTCGGATGAAATTCAAAATAATAATTAGCCCTACTTTGTCGATTTTCATTAAATTAAAATTTTCTTATTTTGATCTGTTTTAAAAAATTAGATCAACAAAACGACTATTTTAGAAATTTAAAAAACTTCATTGCCTAAAAACATTTTTTGGTAATTTTTGAAAAAAAATCGAAACTTTTGCTATTCAATCAGAATTTTCAATTTTCATATTTATTACTCTAAAAAAACCACATTTATGTATATTGATTTTCTATTGAAATACTAAGGGTGATATACGGGACTTTTTGGACATATTGTATTGTTTCTGAATGAATAATAATATATTAATTTATTGAATATATGATTTATTATTTATTAAATATTATGATAATAAACTGTGTTTTTTTTTAAAATAATATGCAATTTTAATTTTGTGTTTTAATAATATATTGTATAAATATGGGAATAAACATATTTTATGTTGTGAGAAATGACAACACTGCCAAAAGATGACGACTGTGATCGCTCCACCCAATCACACCAACCTGTAATGCTCCGTCTATAAGGTCTATAATGCATGTACCTATTTCTGAAACAAAGTAATCACGAAAACGATTCGGTTCATATTTTTGATACTAACGAAAATGTATGAATACTACAACAGTTATACTCGTGAATAGTTTGCAAACGTAAATCATGAATACATATGCGTGTCTATGATTTATCCGAAAACTTTTCGAAAACCGCCTTTAAACTTTTAATAATTATTATAGAAGCGTAAAACATACTTTATACTTCTCATATAATTGTACTATAAATGTTCGTTTGTATTTTGTTTAACTCAACTTATTGAAGATAATGTTTTATACTAAATTGTGGAACTTATTGAACCTACACATGTATACGACTCACCGATTCACGGATACGATCATTAGTAATCGATAAATAGGTAGACGATATATGTCTTCGACGCTGCGGTAAGGAGTAAAACAGTTACAGTGTAAATTAATTTATACCTATAATAGTTTATATTACTAACATTATTGTTAAACAATACAATTGTCAAACCTTTAAAAATTCAAAAATAGAAAAAATACTCTTGAGAACAAATGTCATATAAAAGTTTGGAGCGAAAAAAAATCTCGGATTAATGTTTAAAATTACGGATGAGTTGGGGTTTTTGTAACCAAATCATAAACTTTTATTGTGATAGGTGTTGAGGACTTTTAAGCACAGTTGTAGAAAGTTCTACGTGGTCGTGGCATACTCTACTGCCTTCATATTATGACTTTGTGAAATTCACATGCACAATATTATGAAAGTAATAAATCTTTAGTTGACTATACCATTTATGAAATGTATACAACTATGTCGTTGCGGCCGTACAATTAATTCATTGCCATTGTTTAGTTATTTATTTTAAAGTGATAAAATAAATAATATATTTTATAATCGAAATTAAAATTAATTTAGTTTCTCTAATTTATTACTCTGTGTGCTATTTTTTTTTTACGTTTTAACAATAGTTTCCTAATATTTATTACGTTTCAATATTGTACTGGAATTTGCTTGAACAAATGGATTTATTCAAATTGTCAAATCAATATTTTAAATAATATGTTCATATTTTCTTTCCGTTCGCAATGCATAATACAAACCTGTGTGCTGTCTACTATAGGTAAACTTATAAATGTTGATTTGATTTATGAAAACACATATATATAATTTATGTAACTAGGTATAAAATTAACTATATTTGTCATTATTAAAAAATATAAAATATTCTGAATAAACTATTTATTTGCATTAAAAATATGTTTATAGGTATGCAATAAACTACGATGTAGATGCAATTGTGCCTATATTAATGATTCATTATAACATAACATAAAAATATAGACATACCACATACCTATATTATGGTAAAAGCACTTTGAGTATGATATAATGTTTTTTTTTTTTTTTTAATTTTTTTAATTTTCGTAGACTCCGTCAAAACAAGATGTGTTTAGTATCTATAATGTTGAATTTGATTTTTCAATATTTATAATTCTGAAATTAATTTTCTTTGTTCGATGTAGGTATCTGTTATACCTATTATACCAGAAATACTGCTTGTACCTAATAAATTGCGGTGTATCAGTATTTGCAATATACATCAGCCGTGGTGTAGACACGTCGAGGGGGAAGGTGGTTGTCAATCTCCCCCTTAGCATTTTTTCACTATATGAAAACGTAATATATGGACAAATGAATCATATTATACAGCGTATGATATACATGATATATGTAAATATTATATACATACATATACATGATATTTGAATATCTACAATAATTAATATTTGTATTGCATTAAAAGTGGTAATTTATGAACAATTCTAAAAAAAAATATCTGCCTATCGTAGTTATTAAATAAAACATTATAATGACGAACACTGTGAAAAATCGTGATCGTTTACTCCGACAAACTAGTGGAAATGTACACACAGCGTATTATATTAGATGAACTCTATTTGTCAGCGATAAATGTCAGTAAATTTGTTCCCGCAACTATCGTTTACTCAAACACACGTGTATACAATGAAATACACGTGAAATACTGAAATTCAACTACCTTTGTAGTTGTAAGCTCGTATAAACATCTATTAAATAGAGAAAATTAAAGGCGAATTTCAACCTACATATTTTTAAAATCCACTAAATTTCGTACAAACCTCGTCAAAAGTGTTTTCACAAGTTTGGTGTATATATTTTATTATTATGAATTTGTATCTCATATATAATTGTTTACTGAGAAACTGTGTGTACGTAACGGAATATATTTTTTGTATGTTTGATATTGGTCAAAACTCAAAACATTCTCTTTTGAAATAGAGTTTGTATTGTTTTATTATCTGATTAATTGTCTAAAGCATTACTAAGTTTAATGTCTTGTGGACTCGTGGTTCTATGATAATACATGCATTTTATATAATAATATTATATACTCATAATACTATATAGGTAATGAATATGAGATTTCTATTCCATCGGAATTTATAAAACTATATATTCCAAAGAAACAATTTACGAATATAAACTTTGAGTGCTGTATAATGTATATGCTTAAATTAATATTGTTTCCCTTTCTGAAATTTATAACAAACGTGTTTTCTTTATATTTTTTTTTGATTACATATTCAGACATAGTGCAGTTTAATGGTAAATGTAACTAGAACTTAAAAGTATAAATTATTTTATGGTTGAATATATTTTTTGCTTAGTTTGTTTAATAATATGCATTTTTATTTATATTAAACTAGGTAGTTATGAAATAACAATATCTCAGAAAATAAAAATAACTTAATAAAAGTAATAGGTTATATTAAATAAAACATAATCGATATGTGACCTAAAACGTTATTCATTATATATATTTCATACTCAATATAACTAAAAGGTTCGCAGTTTTTAGTAAAGTTTATTTTCAAAAAACTGCTTTTTCCGTTTTGACAATTTGGTTAATTTCAATTTGTTTGACATGAAATTAGGTAATTGTGAAAACAAAATGTTCAGAAGTATTTCTATCGCTTTTAAATAAGATTTTATTTTTCTTATTCTTAGGTTATGTTTAAGAAGGTTAAAAAATAATCAAATGTTATATGTTTTTAAACCTTGCTTTCGTTGGTGAAAAATTCTAGAATATTAATTTTAAATAATATTGGTACAGTTACTAAGTATATTAACTAATTGTTGTAGTTTTTTTACAACTATTTTTATGCTTCTATATAAAATGTACTTAGATTTTAATTGATTTACATTTTACATGTACATATATTGTAAATGTTTATAAGTTTAGTGCCTATAAATAATCATAAAAATGTTAATATTTTTTTTTCAGACATTATAAACTTGAAGCTGAAATTGCGTCTATGACGTGGAAAGTCAATTACAACGACATCATAAGAGTGCCGCAAGAAAAATGGAGAACGAGTATGGCAAGTCTCATTAGAAGAAACAGCCAAAGGGTAAACGACACAATCATTACATTTTGTTGTGCTTTGAAGCAAAAGAAAATTATATACAGAATGAACTTCGTTCTCAATGTCCGTTTATGTTTCCGCTGTTTAATATTTTCCTTGGCGTTTCCGCGGTTCCACTTATTTTACGATGCATAAATTTGCCAAATCGAAGACGATGATAATGATAATGATGATATTAATAATACTAATAACAATAATAACAATAATAATAAAATAAAAATACATAGTTATAATCACAGATATATAATCATATTATAGTAGCCGTCTTGCCATTTTTAGGTGAAATGGTCTGCCATATTATTATAAGTGGTATTCTTTGTAAACAAACCTTATCAGTATAAATATTAAATTATAATACGTTTTGATTTTATTGAATCATGCTTTTAATATTTATGCAGTTATGCATAGTAATTAGTAAATAGTACCCAACTACTACAACTTTCATTGTATTACTTAAAAAACTTCTGTTAAATTTTGCAATCGATCAAAATAGTTTTGTCTTGAGTTAAAACTTTACTAGTGTTAAAATGTACCTGTCCAATATCACCAGTGGTCGTTTTTTCGTATTGTACGGTTAATATGGTATTCTTACCACATTTTTTTAAATCATAAAAAAATTATAACTGTAAATAAACCCATGCATAAATACCTACACAATAATATTAAGGGTAAATAAATTAATGTCAATTTAAGTACAACATGAATGATTAAAATTAAAATGTATAATGATTTATTTAGGTTTTGAAATTAAAAAAAATATGCAAATTAGTAATAATTTAACTAATTGGAATTATTGCCTATTGGTTATAGTAAAGAATAGTTTTGTTCAATTTTCGTGTTTATAAAATGCTAATATAAATAACCTAGTGGAAATTTCATGTATTTACTGTCATTTGTTTTAGAGTTACGAAAAAACCAAAATCGATTTTGTCGAAAACCGATTTTGCTTAAAAATTACCGGGATTCCTTAATTTTTCTTTTGTCTTACTCTGCGCTCGTAAACACTAATGGTAATATGGGATTTTGACCTCCTCGATGCACCAACTAGATTCACTTTCCCATCGAACAAGATACTGAAGTGGAAAATCGAAGCATTATTTCGACTACTTATCGTGTACATGGACACAAAAAAAAAAAATAATAATAAAATAAAAAAAACACATATCATTGTAAAATCAATATACTCATCGATCCGCTCAGAATCTAAAATTCTATAAAACAATTATTAATAATAATTACGATGATAAAACTAACGATTAAAGATGATATTATATTAATATGAACGGTTTGGAAAAAATAAAATTTAGTGTACACAATTTTTAAAAAACAATAGTTACTGAGTTACACGAGTTCCTCGCGTAAAACAAATCAACCTGTATACTGCTATATAGTTGTATTTACCTAATGAAAATAGAAATATTGGTTTATCATAATTCATAATGTTAGCCTTTGCGGACAACGATTCGAAAAACCTTAGCAGGCACTCCTATTAAAAACACGCCGTTTTATTTACATATTTACCACCACGGCATGCACATTTTGTTCAACTATATATTGTATAATAGAACAACAGAAATATTTAAATCATACCTTTTTCACGGCATCGCTCTTCGGGATAGGTACTTTGGGGTCTGCCTCAAACATTTACTTTATGGCGGGAGTTACGGGGTACGACGATTTCGCTATCTGTGTCCGTCGTGGTTCTCAGCGGCTGCGGCGGCGCGGCGGGGCGCGGTGTTGGCTGTTTTCATTATTAATTTAATTTTTTTTTGCTTATGTCAATCAAATCCCGTTTCCGTATCTGCTACCCTTGAATTAGCGACCGTTTCAAAATTATCGGTCCCCGCTAGATCTAATTATTCCTAAGGCTTCCTTTTAAACCGACTCAGCGCAATAGTTACTCTCGGCCTGTATACAGCCGGTAATGCGGTTATAACCACCGGATGATTATGAAAATCAAGCTGATTGCAACTGAAGCCGTCCCGCGGCGCCAGTCAAAATACAGCCCCGAGATCGGGGCTTATAAAAAATGTGATATTCTAAAATAATATTAAAAAAAAAGCCGGGTAGGAATCTACTTGCCCTCAAATTCAACAACCTCACCTCCCCTACTGCGCACGTTCTCCTACTATTTTTTCCACGCACACACGATAATATTATATTATTACATACCACCACAACGACGTTCGTTTTCATAACGTCTGCTTAGTTTCAATTCGACCTCCTCACCACAGCCGTCATTCGCGTGTCGAATAAAAAACTATACTATTATAGTTAGTATATTATATATATAATATATTATCCGTTGAGTAAAAATAATAATAGTTTAAACAAACGGTGCAGACATATTCTGTAATGTTATTATTACTATACGTTACATTTAGTGCGTTTTACAAGTTTACAACAATTTTAGTTGCGAACTCCCTGCAGCTGTAATGACGCGTGTAGGTATATTTCAAGTGTTTTTATACTACTGCGTGAACTACACAATAATTGGCTTGCGGTGTGTACACGCGTTGTCGAACTTAAAACCGTCAACATTTTTTATTAGTTTTTTCCTAATAATAACAACATGAACCTTATAAAATAATTATGTTTTACAAATCCACACGTTTGCACGAATTCCCAAAAAGTCAATTATAAAATAATCAAATGTATATGTATGTACCTACTAATTACATGTATATATATTATGATATTATTAACTTTATTTACTGTATAACATTGTTATTTTTTTTTTTCAATTACAGACCGTTATATCAGATGACCTCATGAGCCTCATGAGCCAATGTGACTACGGACGCCAAATATTCATTCAAACGGCATTTTACAAAGTCAGTACCTAGACGGCCTTTCATAATAATAATAATCATAATAATAATTTATCAAATATTATATGTATATTTTGTGGCAAACACAATAATATTTTATAATTTATACATTACATGTATAATTATTATTACATTTTTAACTATTGGGATTTCGTTTTATTTAAGAAAAATGTATATTATATACCTACTTAAATGCATGCAGTACAACCATTTGATAATAAGTACTATTATTTGGTTAGCTATCATATTATTATTATTGAAGGGATATTGTGTTTCAAACAAATATCCAAAAGCCACATCGTGTTTTTGTCCAACTTACACATTTGAATAATTCGTGGTTTTCCTTCACGAATACATTGGTATACATTTACGTAAGAATCTTATTTTTTAGATTATGAGTTTTTGGTTTTTTTTTGGAATTTCAAATATTTATTATACAATCTGTAAATATGTTTTTACAACAATTATAAGTTATGTAGGGGTAGTAGTTATTGGACTGTAGTCTCGAAGGAAGAATTTATCCAGTTCACGGAAATGAGTAATGGTATTTAATCAATTCAGAGGAGGTCCCGGAACCATTTACGTTTCAAACGTCTTACGGGGTCACCTGTGATGTTAAGAACAGATAAATTAGAGAGATTACAGGATTGCGGTGCTTGGATAGATTTAAGTGAAAGCTTTATAGAGAGTTTTGGCCAAGTTAATTATGAGTTAAACTTAGACTGTATTGGTTTTACAAGGACATTATTATTTTTTTTTTTTAATACATATTTATTTTAACGTTTCAAATAGTACCTAAGCCTAAATTGTTGATCAGAAATCGAGTATAGTTATTATTGTAAAAATATAATTTATTAATTCTCCAGCAGAAGCTTTACTGTATACAATGAAATGTTACAAACAAGTGTCCGTGAAACATTTCAAGGAAGGTTATAGTTAAAATTGATCTCTATTCAGAATTGTCTTTCATATCTGTGCAATAATTTGTCATGACTTAAAATTGCATGTCACAACACAAACGTAACACACTCGTTTCAACTGTGCACCCAACTACATCCAGCTCTTGTAATTGTTGTGTATAAGCATTTTTTAAATATTTTATAGAAATATGATTGATATCACACTATTTATCATGGTTTATTTATCAGTTAATTATATCCAGTTGAGCGTATTAATTAACGAATATTTGACATAATTTTCCAAAAGGTAGTATGATTAGTTTGATATATATCATTAATGTAAATCGAGAAAAAAATGCTTTAAACTTTTTAACGCCTTCAAATACAATCGCTATATAAATTAATTATTAAGTATTTTTCAAATAACTGAATTAATACAACAGTGGTGTAATATTATAATATTTGATCAAGTGTTTTATTCGGAAATATTCATATGTAATCCCAATTTTTATTAAATGAACTAAAAATGTATTAATACTAATTATAAAAGTCATAAATCTTCAAAAGCACCTTCAAATCGTATAAATGACTAGACATTTTTATTTACTTTAAAAAGAAAAAAAAATGATAAATTACATGTAATTAAAATATTTTCGTTTGTATTTATAAGCTGTTTGAATAATTTTGTCGTAAAATATTATATTCCTGGTCACAATTTTTATTCAAATAATAGCAAGCATAGTTATATTTTATAATTAAACTGGTGAAACATTTGTTTATTATCTTGATCTTAAAATTACTAATTTGATCAAAAATTCGTGTCACGAATAAAAAATAAGAATCATTAAAATCGTTGTTCAATTTTATCTTTGTATTATGAATGTTTAATTAGATTTAAATTATTCGACTTACCTAGTTGAATAATACTTTTTAACCTTCAACCAACAGAACACTCAACGAAAATTTTTCTATTATTTAATATTAAAAGTGTTATTATTATTATACTAAAGAACAAATTTCCAACGCTGCAAATTAATTTTTTAAGATTAAAATATCAACCACAAATTAGTCAATAATAATGACATTTTGAAGCATTTTACGATATTAAATTGTTTTTAAATATATAATAACATGTAAAATTTATTATATAATATAATATTTAGATTGATTTATGTCATAAAACATATTTTTTTATTTAACTGAATTCAGGCAGACTGGATTTGCGAACACGTATTTGTTCAATGTGATAATAACTGTACGTTAGCGTATTATTTAGAAACTTTGAATTCAATTATTTGTTACGGAAGGATCAAAAGTTAAATGATTTAATCTTATTATATTACATGACGTTTACGTTTGTTTCGAATTATCTTGACGAGACTTAACGCACAAGAGATTTACAGAAACAAATTATTAGTTACTACAAATCTATTTATGTATATATAACAGATATTTGTGTCTTAAAATAATATATTTTGTCTATCTGAGTTTTACACACATAACTTTTTACTTATATTAATGATGAAAGTTTGGATCTGAATTATTAGTTTCTATGAAATCTTCATATTTCATAATTTATCGAAATTCGTACTTTTAAGAACTATAATCAAAACCTTAAAAGACCGGTAAAACAATTATTTTGACAGATTCTCTTAAGAGAGTATCTATATGATAGTATTTTAAAGATTTATTAAACAATGATGTATCAGAGACACCAATAGAATGTGTGTAAGAACAGAGAATGAACATGAGAGAAGGAACCATGAGAATTATAAATAGCCTGAACAACTGGAAATCCCAGGGATCAGATGGAATACTTGAAGAAATAATATAGTATGGTACAAACATAATAAGTTATATAAAGAGGCGATACATAAGCCACATTTAAGGCCAAAGACTCTAGTTATACGAAAAACAGAAATTATAACCATCATAGCAGCAAACAAGTTGAAATTAACTTGGAGATGGACACATAGGATAATATGGTGAACTGGTGTAATTAAAAACGATATAGAAAAGGTGAATGAGATGAATCGGGAAGATGGAATTTAGGACATTTGCGATTAGAAAGTAGTGTTGGTGGCAGCTCATTTTTTTTTTTAGAACTATAAAAAAGAAGAAGCATAAAAAGAAGACGAATTAAAATATAATGTGTGTAGAAACTAGAAAAAATTGGATCGAAATAAGAGTTAAATTCCTTGAAGTGTATCTACAAATTATTTTATAACCATTCACCAAAGATCAATATAACAACGTTCTTAAATATTCTACCTAAAGTAATCTCGTTGAACTAACTGTAATTTAGTAATAAAAGTAAAATTAAAATTTATTGTATGATACATATTATTATGATTGATTTCACTCACTAAAATGAATCGAACAACAATGAATTTCTCGTTGTACATCTCGTATGTAATTTTGCGTTACAATTTTTGCATAGTATTATGTCGATTCTTTAATGGCCCCACGGCCATTACAATAATACGGGTACAGCCATTATATTTGTATGGTGTGAGTATGTGAGTAATTCAATGGATTCAATGTAATATACTGATCGTGGTCAATTGACCGTACCACAATAGCTGGTGTCAGAGTTATTTGGTCACGTTAAAATAAGGGTGGAAATAAAATGAACAACAGTTATTTGGGACGTCTTCCTCTACTTATAGAAGTATTATTAATATCATACTGTTAATTTTAGATTCTGAGTGAAACGATGAATGTAATGATTTTACAATGGTGTGTGTTTTTTTTTAATTTTAATTTTTTTGTTTCTGTCATCACCTTTTAGGACAGTAAAAATGCTTAGATTTTCTTCAGCAGGATCTCTTCTGGTAGGAAAGTGAATCTAGTTGGTACTTTGGGGGGGGGGGGGGGGTCAAAAGTAAAAATTTCCCAGTATTTTTCAAAAGCACCCTGAAAAACAAAAGAAAAATTAAGGAAAAACAGGAATTTGTATTCAAAATCTCTTTTCGAAAAAAAAGATTTTGGTTTTTGGTGTAACTCTTAAACAAAGGACATTAGACATTTTTACTGAATGTTTATATTAGCATTTTCTATACACCATGATATTTTCCAAATATTTTGACTTGTTTTAAGCTGATTACGGACATTATAAATTTTCAGTTTGTTTAATTTTTGTTTCTATGATTGTCAATACAATTTTATTTGTTGGATAAAAAAGCTTGAAAATTTAATGCAAGGATCCTAGTTTATTGTTTTAAAGGCAGATGAAAAAAATTAAAAATCCATAGTCACAATTTTTTTTTATAAGTATTTAAAGTTCAAATATTGACAAAAGAAGTAAAAATGACGAAAATTTGCAAATTATTTTGAATTATAAATTCATAAAAAATTTCTTTTTAAATCTAAGATTTGAAAATGTAATACAAGATTTCTCATAAGTTTTCCTACCTTTATCAAAAAAAAAAAAAATGTCTACAAGAAACACAAATTAAATTTTTATGAGCGTTTGAAATTCATATTTTTACAACATTTGATATTCACTCGATTTCTCATGTAACGATTTTCTTATTTTGTTGTAATCAAAAAACGAACAGTCTTCAGTTATTGCCGTTTACAAATATATTCAATAATATAAAAAAAAATTTATCTTATTGTATTTTGTTTCAATATGAAGTCGAAACGACACTACAAATGCGGTATTACACATAATATATTGTTCAATAAAACCGCAGAAGTTTAGACCAAAATTAACTTTTAATATTAGGTATTTAGTTATTTTTTATTTCAACAAACGTCAGCGCATGGTGCTGGGCAGTGTTTATTTTTCTTATAAATTAAAATCATGAAAGTTAGTGGGGACCTTTCCGTGTTAGATGTATTACAGGTGGTCTTAGACATGCCTATTCAGGTGGTGTGACTCATCTTGTGGAAAAAGTTCAAAATAATCGAGTCCAAGTCTGAAATGTCGTTGGCACAATCACCGTGATCGTGTCGAGCAGTGGAAGATCCAGCGAAGTGGGTGTCAACTGTGTGCCGTTGTTGGAGTGGCATCCGCTGTTGCTGCCGCCATGTTCGGCCGCTGTCATCATAGCGGTTAACGCGTTCGGAACTATGACAGCAACTGTCCACCAACGAGTCCGCCGCTGTCGGAACTGACGTACCGACGATGCATCGGCAGTTTTGTTGTTGTTCCGATTGTCTTCGTTGTTGTTCCGGTTGTCGTTGCAGTGGATCCGTTTCGAAGCTCCGTTTATCTTGGCACGTGCAAGCGTACGTCTTTCGGCCAAAGTTGTATTCGTAGTGATCGTAGTTGGAGTATGGTACGGTGGAGATGGATGAGATACTGGTGTTGGTGTTAGAGGTGAACGAGGAGGTGTTTGCTAAGAACGTCGTCTTGTTGTTAAACCGGACGTTGGGAACGAAATTGTGCTCGGTACGGGGCATCGCGTACGCCTGCAGCCGGATTCGCCTCTCCCGGTCGCGGAGCACCTGTTCCCGGATTCGCTTTTCGGCAGGTGGTTTGGCCCACGACACGTCGACTCGGACGCCGGACGCTTCGTCCACGGCGCCGTCCAGAGCGTTCATAGCATCCCGGGCGTCCGACCGACGTTCGAAGTGAACGAACGAGTAGTTCTTCAGGTTTTTGACCCTTTCAACCTTGCCGTACCGGCCGAACACTTCAGCTAGCGTACGCTCGTCAAGCGTGCCACCGTACTGTCGGACGAACAGAATCCGGACTGTGGCCATCTGTTGGGCGTCCACTTCCGGTTCCGGATCAGCCCAGTCGACGATCGTCTTGCACCCAAACACCGTGCACCGGAAGAGCCGGCGCTTGGCCTCCGCGGCCGCCGTGCTGGACTCGTAGTCCAGGAAACAGAAGCCCCGGTGCAACAAGGGGTTTTCGAAGTTCTTGTACGTGATGACGCGCACCAGGCCGTCAGTGATCCGGCTAACTTCCTCGCAAATTTCAACTTCTGATTTCACCTTAGGCAGGTTGCCCATAAACAGCCTGCGTGCGTCTTCACGGTTCGGCGCTCCCACGGCCGGCAGGCCAGCTATGCTTGAGGTGACGGTGGTGGTCGTGGTGTAGTGACGGCCGTGACGGTGGCGGTGGTGGTCGTGGTGATGGTGTGCGGAGACGGTGTTTCCAACACCGCCGCGACTGTCGAAAGATCCGTCATGGCGTAGAGTGAAGTGATAACGATTTTGTTGTTGAGATATTATTACTATCACTGTTATCGCAGCACGAAAGTATAGAACTGTTGTCCTGAAGATTGGACTTGTTTCTTCTTTTTACGTAATTGCAAAGTAGTACAGATGGATATTTGTAAAGAACGAATGTTACAAATAATTTGTCGTGTTTGTTTTACAAAACATAGGGTTGTCAAAAGATTAAAAACCATATCAATTGTGGCCAGAGATTGTTGTCTTTAAATCAGGTGATTCATTGATTTTTCACTATAGATATTATGTTATTCAACCCAGAAGAAACTTGGGAGAGATCATATTATTATCATTTTTAACGTTTCTAAGTGATTTTCAATAGAATAACAAAATATTATCGGTAGGTAGATAATATTTATTGACAAACAACAATATTTTATTTTGTTTTTGTTTTTATTACATTCATTTTTTATCCTCGTTCGATTATATTTTCATCTTAACAAATTATCCAATAGGAATTTTTTTGTTTTGTGTTTTCAACAATATATTGCGTAAAATACTTCCACCTCAGAAAAATCTTGTAAACAATAAAAACAGAGTTTTAAAACTTACCATCGTGTTGTTTTTTTTTTTTCTATTAGTTTTTCGATGGTCACTTATTCTGGATAGCTTCTAAACAGTTATTATAACAGCGAGTAAACGGGTGTCTCGTCCTCATGACATAACTTGGCATTATATTCCCCTTATTCAGCGTGTTTGTTTTCTTCCGATTCTACTGTTAGATAAAAGATTTAACATTTTTTTTTTTTATTGAACCAACTATAATACTTTCAACTGTTGTTTTTTCTTAGACTTTGCGTGAGAGTAAAGAAGTTATATAAATAATAAACGTACATGAACGATAGTATACAAGTATACACATTACACATACGGTTTAAACTGTTTTTTTTTATATATTGTTTCCCAAAATTCTTTCTGATGTAAAAATGTTTTAAAAGTTTCATAAAGTTCCATTATCCATTTGAAGGTGAACCGTGCAAATGGTTCTTTGCAACAGTCATAATCTTGAGTGGCATATTATTATTAAAACCATTAATTAAAATGTAAAATGTTGCAGAATCATTAGTTGCAGAAACAATTAATAACTTAAAATAAATTAAATAAATTTGTTGTTTTGGTACCTATACCAAATATATATATATATATATGGTATTATGTACCTAACCAATACCCATATGTTTTGAATCTATATTATTTATATATTTTGACCAAAATTATTTTTGAGTATAATTTACTGGTGATAGTTTTTGTTTTATCTTCAATTTATTAGCTTTATAAAGGATTCACAAAAAATAATTAGAATTAAAATTTTTTTTTTCTCCAAAGATTAACAGAATACTAAATTAATGAGACTCTACCAAAAATCAATTTTGGAACTAATAATTGGTTAACACTGAATACTGTTCACGAATTAGTGTTACCTATCTAATATTTATTTTATTATGTAAATACTAAGTAGGTTGTTATTAAAAAGTAAGAAGTATGATTTTTGTTTAAAATTATTTTCATCACATAAGTTTTAAATTTAATTTACACATTGAATGTGTAGGTACCCTTTACAAATTCACACATATTTTATGTTTAATTTAGTAACTGAAAGATAAAAATAATAAAGATGTGAAATTTATAGCGAAATTTATATTCGAGTCCGATATTTTGACTCTCTCAATGTTGTGTGTTGGGTATATGCAAGGCTGGGCATTAACAAGTTCAAAAGTTAAAATTAAGTTAAAAAGTTAATTTGATTTAAACTTTTTAACTTAACTAGTTACTTTTGGGCTTTGACTTTTCATTAACTTAACTGTAAACTTACCTACTAAATTTCTTTTTTAATTAACGTGAAATTAACGATTTAATTTTTAATTTTAAAAAGTAAGTTAAGTTGCTTTATTTTGTTATTGATTTTAATATATTTTACTGTTTCAGTCTATTTCGTTTTCATGTCAAAAAAATATTTACCGTGAATTGTTTGAAGTTAATAATGTATATCATTTGAATCTAACTTATATGGAAATACTATATAAAGTATAAACACTATAGTCTATAATTTATTTTTGGGTTGGAAAAAAATTAAGTATAAACAAATTAACTTTTTTTTAACTTAATAAAAACTTAACAAAAAGTGTGTATTAACTTTTAACTTAACTGAGTTAACCTACAGTTAAATTAACTTTTAACTTTTTGTTATTGTTGTATATTAACTTAACTTAACTGAGTTAAAAAAAATCATTAACTTGCCCAGCCTTGGGTATATGACGTTTGCGTTAAAATAATTAAAAATGATACATTAACACATTAGGTATAAAAAAATGGATAGGTAATATACGAGTGCGTAAAAAAAATGCTAACATTCTGAAGTGTTAGATGATTATAATATATGTATTATATATACATAAAAAATTATTTATTATCTACTTAGTACTTATTCTACAAGTCTTAAGAAGGTGGGTAACTGTGTACCTTACTTTTGTACAGTACCTAGGTGGCTAGGTCCTAGGTGTCGAGTAGTGTCAGGTCACTGTAATGGATGTGTTAAATTTAAATTCAATGATAATCTGTAACTGGAAAGATTTTGAGCAGAGACGATGTATAAATGTATAATATAATAATATATTAGCCTAGGTTATTTCATATTATATTATATTTATATTAATGTTACTATTAGTAACTATTAGCATTTTTCACAACTTGTTCATACAATTTGATATACAATTTCCATATGTTCAATTCACATGAATAAAATGATATTTGTAGAAAATACTATTATTAAAATGTATAAAAATAACGGATCAACGGAGCTTTAGAACATCTTATTACTACTGTGATATTAACACTTAATCTTCTTTTTTTATTATTTTGTTTTAAGTAAGAATTGTAGTTTTTCTTTGACTTAAAAATGTATTCTCTAAAACCTTTTAAGGTAAATAACTAAATTTTTATTTCTTGCTAGAGGTTTTTATTTGTATAACCTGTAGTGATATTATGTCTTGATATATTTGACAGTTCAAACAATAATTTTTGTTTACATATAATAAAGCGTGATAAAAAATATTTGTATACATTTTGGATTTACATAGGAGAAAATGAGGAAGCTTATTGGTTTAGCACGTTGAAGTATGTTTTTTTTCGGTTGGTAAAAATTTGGAAAAATACTAAATAATGGTAAAAAAGAAACGAGTATCTTTACATTTCAACTAAATATTATTCATATCTAGGCTAAAAGATAGATCCACGCTATCGGTAATGTATTTTGGACCGATTACGGAAACTATAAACAGCATAAAGACACCTGGTCTAAAGAACCGCTTATATCACTTTTCAGTATGAGCATATTAGTTGATTTGTATGTCTATAGATAACCATAACCCTCACTAGTAGAACGATACTAGATCCATGTTTAAGAGAGTGCTAACATTATTAATGAAAAACTAACTGAGGGGCCCCCGGTCTAGATTGTAATTTATTTTTCAAATACGGTGATTTAAACTAAATACAATATAATATAATATATAATTTAATTATATTAATTATTATATATCATACTAGCTGAACCCGTGCACTTCGTTGCCCATTAAGTGTACCAACTCTCGTCTATGTGACTCAAACTGTGTTCAATTTGTTATTTAATATTTAGTGTATGGTTTCAAAATTAATCTTAACTTTTCCGTTGCCCGGAATAAAAATTCTGTTTCACTGCAGTACATTATCAGGTAGGCAATCTACCTGCGGTAGATCGCGGACCCCGTGCTGTGTGTACGTAAGTGTATGATTTAACTCTAAAGTATTAAAGTTATACCAAGTTTGTCGTATTCTATCTATGGTGGATTAATATAATCGATTATATAAAATCCTAACATAACCGTAATAATGATGAATAAGAAAAACTTAATTTTTTAAATTAGCCAATCTTCTTCCCAAAGGTCTAATCTACACATAAACATTCAATTATATATTATATATGTATATATTGACGAAAAATAATAATACAAATCAACAAACATGCCCGATTAACCAATAGCAACCAAAATATAATACATTATTATTTTTATTTTTTTTTTGGCCATGTCAAAAGTTGTGCACTTAAGAGACCACAACCACTCATCGTACATTGTACAAACTTCACAGAAACCATCTACATATTAGTCTTAATATGTTCTGAAATTTTTATCGACATCGGTTTGGTGGATCTTGAGTTATAAAATGTATTCAAAATGTACACTTATTTTTATATATATAGATAATAATTAATATACATATATAATATGTTAATTAAATATATACTCAATCTCTATTCATAAAAATATGAATTTTATCTGTAATTTCAAAATATATAAGCGTCTTAAAAGCTTATATAAAAGTTTCTCTATTCCTACAATAGAAACCTTAAAATGTATTTTTAAATACTGTGATGTTAATATATTATTTTTAATTATTTTATGTAAGTACTTACTATATATCAATCAAATCAAAAAAAATAATTTCATAACATTTTGTACTAAGACTAGTAGAATATAAATTGTAGTTGTGGCCATAGGGAGATCAAAAGTTGATATTCTTTAAACGAATACAGTGAGTGTGGAAAATGTAAAATTATTACGAATATAACCAAGAGGCTTAAAAAAAAACTGTTTTAATTATTACTATGTCAATATTCATAAAACTTTGAATTTTCATCGGAATACGTAAAAAGTGTTAACACATTCTCTGAGTTATTTAAGCTCGAGTCGACGCCAAACAACAACTACTGATCCTCATATATTGAGTTCCATATATATACCTATATATATATATATATATATAGAGTGCTGCGTTATCGTTTAAATTTCTATGTTTATTGTGTGTAGACAAGTTTGAACATAAAAATAAAGATGCTCGATGTTTTATCATAAATAAAAAGGCGCAATGAACGCCTTTAACGAAACAGACTAGGTTCCTATACAATATTATTGTCGTAATC